GAGAGAGAGCGAGTGCACGAGCAGGAGGAGGAGCAGAGGCAGAGGGAGAAGCAGGCTCCCTGCTGAGCAAGGAGCCTGATGTGGGACTCGATCCCAGGACCCTGGGATCAGGACCTGAGCCGAAGGCAGACGCTTAACTGGCTGAGCCACCCACGCACCCCAAGAGAGGATTTTTCAAAAGGGCCTCATTACCCTAACCCGGTCTCAAACTGGCGGGGTACGTCCCAGTGTTTTCAAGCAGGTGACCTTTCCCATGTTCCTTGCCCAGTTTTTGACCCCCCCTTCCCCAAGAATGGGGCTTGTCTTGCCACCCTACTGGCTGACCCCCCCCCCCCCCCCAGGGGAAGTCTCCTTGCAAGACGCTTGGATGTAGCAGTTCAGTCTGAAGGCTCCGGGAGGACTCCTCCTCTTCTGGGCCTCAGTTCCCTCTGTTTACTTAGCTCCTTCCCAGGGAAAGGGCTGCCAGCTAAACAGGGCATGGCTTGCACATCCGTCAGTGCATGGTATGTCAGGGGACCCGGACCCGTTGCCAGCTTGAGATCCTGAAGGGGAGGGTTTGGGGGCATCTCTCAGTTGGCCATGCTTCCTTTCCAGTAGCTGCTGGAGGAAATGCCAGAGGGAGGAAGGTAGGATGAGTCTTGTCCCGGGCCTGGAGGTTCTCAGGGCTGGGAATCGATGGCAGGAGCCAGGAGGTTGGAGAGGTTTGGCCTGCTGGGCAAAAATGGCCCCAGCTCTGCCCTGTGGGCAGGTGTTTAGGTGGGGGGAAGAGGGAGAAGCAACATTGTCTGGAGGAGAAAGCAGGAAGCGCGAGCCCGTTCTAATTCCGTCCCGATGCCTTCAGGCTCCCCGTCTCTATCACATATCGGTGGTGGTATAAACTCAGGGTGTATTTTGCCTGCGTGTTGAATCGCCTTTGCCAATCGACCAGCTGTGTTTGCAGAAAGACTCTGACTGACTGTGCTCTGGCTGTTGCTAGCCAAGAGACATTTCATTCAGGTGCTGATTAAATAAGGCACAGAGCCAGATTGCACAGTAAGGCCCTTAACTATGGCTCTGGGAGCCCTGGGTAAACACTTATTAGATGTTCTGGGCAGAGCAGTAGCCGAGGCTGCTGGATGTGAGGTCCTTTCTTCAGAAGTCGGGTGGAGATGAAGATGGGGGTGAGGAGAGGCTTCTGGAAAGAGTCTTGACCCTCTTGTCCTAGCTGAATCTAATCCGAATTGACACGGAAGGGCTCGACAGGCTTCCTCATTGGCCCTTCCTTGCCACATTCTTGCTGGGTCCCTGCACGTTTGGAGTTGGGGCACAGCAGGGAGCCTGAGGAAGCAGGGCCCTAGAGACGCTCCTTTTCCTCACGTAAGGTCAGCCAAGCAGCTCAAGCCTTTGGACCATATTTCCCGGGTTTGCATTTGAGCCGCTTCACCACGTGATGTGTAATGTATTACTTGACCCGCGGCGAACCTCAGTTTCGCCCATCTGTAAAATGGGAATAATAGTACCTACCTCCTAGGGTTGTTGTGAGGATTTACTGAAATACGTCCAGCATTTCGGGGAAGCTGTGGCTCATTGTGAGCCGCGATAGATGCCAGCAAGTTTCTCATAGTAACAGTATTACTATGACGTGTTTCAAGGCAGCTGGGGCGTACTGGGTGAGAGCCCAGACTCTAGGGTGCTAACGGCCCGGGTTCAAATCTTAACCGCCAGCCAACATCAGGCACCCAAGCTCACAGGGGATAAGACCATAAGGATTAGGTACAGGAAGGCAGTTTTAAGAAGCTCCTCTGAGAAAAGCTCTCCTGGCATTTTCGTTTCACGTCGTGGGCAAAAATACTGGCGCCATGATGTTAGCGCCCGTGTAATCTCCTTGGGGCAGAGTGGCTTGGCTGCCTAAGGCCTAAGGACAGCTTCCTGGGCAATTTGAAAAGTACTTGCAATCACCCAGTCCTGGCTGAAGAATTTGGAGGATGGCTTTCCCTGGTAGGAAGCTTGGCTTTCCAGGGACCTCTGGGCTGCTCTTCATCCCTAGGCTGACTTCATGGGGCCAACTCTCTTGAGATTGGTAGCCTAGGAAACCAGTGAGTGTTTGATCCTCTTGTATGGGAGGAGTGGTTTGGCTGGGTGGACAGAGACAGGTGTGTGGGTTTCTTTCTTTTTCTTTTATATTAATTCCTTTTGGTTGAGGGGAGTGTAACTTTTTCAAGTGCCACTTGTTACTGGGGTTCGGTAATTATCAGAGGAGAGAGGGCTGCTCCCAGAGCTCCTGGGACGAAGGTGGGTTTTCAAGTAGACCAGTGCCTTGCCTTACCTGTCAGCAAATGGACAGGAGAAAAAAAAAAAAAGTAGACAATCATGATAACTCCAGGATATGGTTAACCTCTCACATTTTCAAGACCGGCTAAACTCAGAACTGCCTTTGCTCTGGGGGTTAAGCTGCCTTTGAGTGCAGCCTTCCGGGGCCAAGGCCATGGTCATATGACTTCACAGCCTTGGAGTGGGGGGTGGCTCTCCCCTTGGACACCCCCCACGTCGAGGCCATTGGAAGGCCTCCGGGCATATTCCCAAGCATTGTGGGTAAATAGGCAGTTTCTTAGCTTTGGAGTTGAGAGAATTGGGAAGGCTAAGGTCATGTTTTCTGTAATAATCCTGGTTCCCTGGCTGGAGCTGGCTTGGAGGGCCTGTCTAAAACAAACAGCAATCCGAAGAAACAGCAGCTCTCAGAAATGGAAGGTCACTCGTTCCAGGACCTCGGGGAGATGGCAACAAAGGGTCCTCTTCGTACCCCCACTTGCTCCTCGTCCGCTTGCATTTGTTAAGAGTTTCCTTTTTTAAGTTCCAGGCACTTGAATGTGTGTGTGTGCCTGTCAGTGCCCTTTATTCTCGGAGCCCTGGAGGAATGTTGCTGAGGGTCATGTGCCTAAGTGCCTTATTATCTTCAGCGTTTTTCCACTTGCTCCCCTGGGCGGCTGCCGCTGCTGGCTACAGCGTCGAGTGGGCATTTCTCCCTCCTTCCTGGGCTCCCGGGCCCACAAGGAAGAGCGGGGCACCCCGAGGAGAGGGGCTGCTTTCACCTTCGCTGCACCTCGCTGGACTTTCCAGTTCAGCTCTCAGAAGAACCCTGCAAGCTTAGCACCAAGCCAAGGTCATGTTTCTGTGTTTGAGAGGTTTCTGGCCAGTGAGGGAAGAGAACAGATTGTTCCCCCACCCCACAGCCCAGGGGGCTGTCCTCCCCGGGTGGGGCTCTTGGGGGGGGTGGGGTGGGGTTGCTGGCTTGGACACAGGAGGTCAGGGGTGTCCTTTGGGCTAAGGCTGCAGTGGACTCTTGGAGAAGAATGTGAAGCCTGCCATGTAGGGGCTCCTGACGCGGCAGAGTGTTTAGCCATACCTCACAGCCGGTGGTGCTGTGTTTGCTCAGATGGACACTCGTGGTGTCCCTGGTTTCCAGGCTGGGATCGTCTTCCCAAGTTTCTTACTCCCCGCTTTGGGTCTGTCCTGAAAAAACAATTTGCAGAGTACTCTGTGGTCTGCACCTGTTGTTGTCTTTTTTTTTTTTTTTTGTATCACCCCCTCCCCCTTCCACAGACAGTTCTCAGCAAACTGAGGATTAACCCTGGCCCCTCACACTGAAATTTTCTCTTTACCTTCCCCTTGGGCTTGGGCTCTCGTTCTCTAGTCACAACTGTCCATCACTATGAGGACAGTTGGCGCCTCAGCTCCTGTAGCTGCCCCTCCCCCCCCCCCTGCCGCCCGCCCAGACCTTTTAAACGCTATATAAATTCCGGACCAGAGTCAAGTGGGCAAAAAAGAGTCAAATTTAGGAGAGAGATCTCACTAGAATTTTCCATCATCTCTGTACACTCTCTGAAAGTTAATAGCAGTAATAACCCTTGTAACATTTGTGAGCACAGTTTTCCTCCCCAGGCAAGGTGCTAAGTGTACCTACCGCTAAGTGTACGGTACCTCATTTACAGCCTTCTACAAAGGTCAGTTTTGTTTTATCTAATTCTTCCTTTGCCTCGGTTCTAACCACTTTCCCCTTTGGTTGACGAAAGATACCGTATAACGTATTCTAGCAGTCCTTCCTCAGGTTTGCCAAAAATGGCAGAGCGGGTGCCAAGTCACAGCCGAAGGAAACCCCAGGGACCCATCTGGTTCACCTCCTCCCTCATTGTTCTGCATGAGCAAATCGAGATCCAGAGAGGTGAAGCGATTTGTACAGAGTCACCCAGCTGAAGAGAAGCACAGCTGAAGAGAAGCACAGCCGAGTCTCCCGGACTCCCCCGTTCACTAATGCCACACATGGCCTCCTTCCACCCCTAACCAGTCCAGCACGAAAGGGGCTGGACTTTTGTTCTCACCCAGCAGTAGACAAAGAGAAATCTTGTGTTGTTTGAGCAGGACTCAGAAACCTTGGCTAGCAGGGGTGATAAAGGGCAAAGAGGGAAAAGATCAAAGTAATCTGTCAGCTCAGTGGGAGAGGTTGGTAAACAATGAAGAGTCATAGAAGCCAGCCCTGGGCCTCCGTTACAGAATTCATCACTAACTGGCTGATGGAACCTAGGAGTGGCGGCTAGTCAGGGGGAACCTCTCTGTGCTTCAGTCTTCCTATGAGACGTGGAGTGTGGTGGTTAAGAATGCAGGCTCTGGAGCCGGACTGGCCAGGTTCAAATCCCAGCTCTGTTGCTTTCCAGCTGTGTCAAGGCCTTGGGCAGGTTCAGCGACCTTTCTGGGACTGTTTGTTTTTTTTTTCTCTGTAAAATGGGGAGGGCAGTATCTACTTTGTGGGGTTCTTGTGAGAATGAAATGCATGGCTACATGTAAAGTATTTAAATATTCATTAGAGAGAGGGAGGGAGAGAGAGAGGGAGAAAGCATGAGCCAGGGGGAGGGGCAGAGGGAGATGCAGACTCCCCACCGAGCAGGGAGCCCGATGTGGGGCTCGATCCCAGGACCCCGGGACCATGACCTGAGCTGAAGGCAGACGCTTAACCGACTGAGCCACCCAGGCGCCCCTACATGTAAAGTATTTAGAAGAGTGTCTGGTGCGCCGCAGGTGCTTCATAAGTACGAGTCATGGCTGTTATCACCGTAGGATAGGGATGATTTCTGCCCTTCCTAATTCATAGGGTGAGCATGGGAAACATGGGAAATAAGGTCTGTGAATCGAAAGCACTCGCTCAGTGGGAGGAATTATCTTTCGAGAGCATGCACATTCAAAGGTTTATTTGCACATTGTCCCTAGGATCAGATAACTGATGGATATTTCTTTGGTGATCCGGTAGTCTTATATTTTATAAAAATGCCGAGGCCATCAAGCCACGAGTACTGTGCTTTTCCCCTCCCAGTGTACTCAAGGGCGCTTGAGAGTCATGCACCTCAAGTAAAGTGGTTTGAGGACTTGAAATGAAAAGCAATTACACTCTTCCCCCAATGCTGCTATCTTAGCTGGTGGCACTGCAGGCCGTCTAGTGACCCCGGTTAACTCCCTTGAAACCGGGGCGCATTTCCATTCCTCCCTGTTCCTCCCTTGCATCATCACCATGTCAGAGTGGTCTTGGTTCTGTCTTTTATCATCTCTTCCATCTGTCTCTTCCGTCTTTGATTCCTCTGCCCTAATTCATTTGGTTGTTCATCACCATCACCATCACCATCTGGCTTACTATGGCAGCCTCCCGACTGATTCCTGCTCTGTTTATCCTTTACGCTGCTGCCGGAATGATACAGGTAACGCACATGCTGGGTCATGGCATTCCATTGCTCAAAAGCCTTCGAGAGCTCCCTATTACCTTACGTCTTATGCATATTCCTTATGGTGCCCTGAGCTGCTTTTGCCAATCGTTCATAGGCATGCTTTCCCAGTGAGTCGCCATGTAGGTCCCACATCCTTTTTAGCATAGCATTTTAGGCAGCGACTGTCAATCGTTTGGAGTTGGCACATAGACTAGGGCTGGCAAATAGATAAACTCTTTAGAGAAAGCCTGAACTCCTTATGATGATAGGATTCAGGGTCACCTATGGTCTTTCTCTCCAACCTTATCCTCTAGTACATTCTTCTTCCATGTGTGCCTCTCTGAGTTTATACTCTGTTCATGCCATACCCTCAGCCAGAAATATTCTCTTTTCTCTTCCTGTTGAAATGCTAGTCATCATTCAAGGCTCAGCCCAAACACTGCCTCTTGTGAAGCTCTCTTCAAGCCTCCACCCCAGATTTAGCTGCTTTTGTCTATTTTAGCATTTAATTCTGCCTTGTATTACATAATTGTTTATGTATCTTCCTGCTCCTTAGAGTGTGTGTTCCCTGAATGCAAAGCCTGTGTTTTTATGAATTGCTGTATCCCCCACAGCATCTAGTGCCTACTAGACTCCTAATTTGGAAAAAAATCCCTGCGTTTTTCAGATGAGGGAACTGAGGCTTAGAGGAAAAGGGTCATGAGTTCATTCTGGGACTTGTTCAGTTTCCGAGGCTTGAGACCTCGAGGCTGGAATGGCCAGCAGGCAGTTGAGCTGTGGTTAGGGCTAGAAATGTCGATTTAGGGAGCTGTCTGGAGGAGATAGAGGACTGAGAACGTCGTGCCAGTCAGGGAAGAGAAGGAAGAAAAGTATTCCGTGGACTGCCTGCTTTGTGGGGCAGAGAGAAGACTCGGCGAGGGAGTCATCCAGGAAGTGGAAGGAGTTTCAGGCAGCAGGAGCGGGTCCCCTGTGCCATGTGATGCCACGAGGGGGAGACCCAGGAGGCCTTGAGAAAGGGCGGTTGGAATTGGTGAGTACAGGCTGGTCCTGTGGCCAGCTACCCACCCACTTCTAAATAGTCACCTAGAAATGTTGGAGTGGGAGGCGTTGCATACAAGGACATTTATGGTATCAGTGTTGGTAAATAGAGAATGTTGGGAATCAGCCCACCCGTTGCAGAATAGCAAAACTGGCCAGTGGAGTATTGCACAGCTTTTAAAGGGGAGGCCCAACCTCTGCGTTCACTTTGAAAGATGTACATGATATATTGTTAAAAATTAAAGACAAAACCCAAAATAAGTTGCAGGGGCATCTGGCTGGCTCAGTCGGTAGGGCACCAGATGGTGCTTACTCCTGAGTGATTGGGGAAAGGGGGGCACTCTCACTTTTTACTTAATACATTTGTGTCGTGTGGATTCGCAAGTACAAATTTCTTGTGCAGTTAAGATAAAAAAAAAAAAAGACTTTTTAAAGAAAGAAAGGAGATGACTGGCAGCCTGGGAGAACTGTTTTACTAGAAGAGGTCCAGTGGATGAAGGAAGCCAGCTCACGAGAGAAGATTTGGCAACGTGGAAGACATCATGTGTTTGGGAGACCGTGCCCGCAGAAGCCTTGCTGCCTGTGGGGCTGGGGCGAGCGAGGCAGGGGGCACGGAGAGGTGACCGACCCCTGGAAGGTGGCAGCTACCCCATTGCCAGGAGGTTCAGCTGAAAGGGGGAGGAAGGAGAGGAAAAGAAGAGTGATGAAGTGGCGGAGAGTAGGCAGAGGCTGATTAAGAAGGAATTAAAATGCAAACCCCACCACATGGGGGGGGGGGAAGGTGGGGAGGGAGAGAGAGATGGGGCAAGAGGGAAAGGGAGAGAATGGGGCAGGGGTGGGGGTGGAGGTGGGAGTGGGGTCCGGGAGAGACTGGGCGCTGAGCTGCAGAGGGAGTGAGAAGCATCAGTATGGGGCAGGGAGTAGGGCAGTGGAGAAGGGACAAATTAAGTGTCAGAGGAGTAGAGAAGCTTCCAAAAAAAAAAAAAGATGAGATGTCGGGCCAATTAAGCCTCCAGTAAACGGAATGGTTGGGGCATGGCCTGGACAAGCTAATTGCCTTCTCTGACTGAGGGTTGATCAAGAAAGCCTCCTTTCGGTTAAGTTTTGGTTGCCAGAAATGTTGCCACGTTGACTGAGTTCTCTTACGGCTCAGAGAACAGTCTGGCGAGTGAGGGAGGTAGAATTCTGGGGCCCCTTGCAGGCCTCGGAGTCCAGCTATCTGCTGGACCTGTCACTGGGTTTGGGGCTAGAAGTGGATGCGGAGAAGGTGGAGGGAGGCCAGGAGTCCATCCAGTCACTAAGGAAGTCACTTAGGCCATATAGTCACTAAGGAAGCCTTCGAAAAATTCCAGCGCCTGCTCCCTCCACCCCATTCTTATATAATTGTCGGGGGGGGGGGGCTGGGCATCAGCCTTTTTTAAAAAGCTCCTCAAGTGATCCTGACGGGCAACCCAGGTGAGGCACGGCTAGCGTGGATGGCCGGACGCAATGCATTCCGAGGCTGAAGTGGGTGATCGCTAGTAAAGTGCTCATCCCGTTGCATAGTTGCTAGCCTGCCTGGGAGAAATCGCTGGCCGCCCTAAGATTCAGGAGTTCCTTGGTAATAGCTGCTGCGCTTACCGGGCCTCACGGTGGGCTGGGTTAATTGCCTCGCCCTGACTCATACAGCTTGTAGGAGGAGCGGCAGCCCCGGGGCCCTGGCTTTCCCCTTTTCTAGTATAGAGCAGGGCGCCTGGCACCTAGGTGTTTAATCATTGTCACGTGAAGTCACAAGGAGCTTTGTTTTCTTATGCAATGCTTGTTTTTATTAAAAGCCCAGGAATGGGAAAATCTGACCTCTTTGAAAAGTCTGGTGGGAGAGAGGCTGGAGGAGCACTGCCCGGCATGGGAGAAGCTTTGCTATGCCAGGTATTGCGCAGCGAACTGGTATCACTCACCATTTATTATGCAGTTACTCTGGGCCTCGCATCATATCGGGGACTGTGGGATACACAAGGAATAGCCGATATGGTTTCTGCTCCCCAGGGAGCTTATTATCAAGGCTCATTTATAGTCTTAATTACTGCATTTATAGGTGGCAGGATCGGTGCAGAAGGGTGAGCAGGAAAGTGCTGGAGGCCCTTCCAAATGCCTGTAGTTCAAGCCTTCCATTTTGCAGCTGGGGAAAGAAGCCCAGCGCGGGAAGCTACTTGCCCAAGGTCACGCCGCCTGGGAATGGCTGCCTCCCTCCGTGGTCCTATTACACTGTTCTGCGCATTGTTTGAAGGACAAGGGAACCTAATGGCCCATGTGAGAACTTGAATGGGATTTCCATTTTGTGCTTTATGCTTCCAAGGCTTCCTCACAGTCGAGGGGCGGGGGTGGGGGGTGGGCTCTGATGTTGAGTCCTTCCTAAAGCCTTGCCTGGGGAGGCCAGCACTGGTTACCCCTGGAATTCTAGCTCAGGCTCAAGAGGCCTAAAGATGGCTAATTTGCCCTTTACTGAAACGGCCAGTGACTCTATGACTCTATCTAAGCCCTCTCCTCCCACCCTGGCCCCCGTGTCTAATTATGGCACTTTTCTACTCTTTCTAGGGGGTTTTCCCAAACGTAGTGTGTTTATGACTTTTCTGTCTCAGTTCTTTTTTTTTTTTTTTTAAGATTTTATTTATTCATTTGCCAGGGAGAGAGAGGGAGAGAGAGCACAAGCAGGGGCAGTGGCAGGCAGAGGGAGAAGCAGGCTCCGCACTGAGCAGGGAGCCCGATGCGGGACTCCGTCCCAGGACCCCGGGATCATGACCCGAGCCGAAGGCAGATGCTTAACTGACTGAGCCACACAGGTGTCCCTCTGTTGTTCTTTTTAAGGTAAACCGGTTGTGAAATGTACCCGAGGGGTAGGAAGTGCATGGTTTGATGTGTGCACCTGAGAATCAGTGCAGTGGGGTGGGCTCCCAGTGGTGCCAACATCAGGCTGGTTCTTTTAGCCCCGTCCCCCATCCATTTCCAAATCAGAAATTCACTTCCAAGTCTGGGGCCTTCTCTGAAAAGTCAGGGGTAGGTAATTCAACATAGAGAGATACTGGGTTGCTCTTCTCAGCACCCTCTCCCAGCACTCACAGGATTAGGGCTGTCTGGTGGGCCAGGCTATAGTAATAGTCACAACTAATATTTACTGAACACTTACAGTGGGCCGGGTACCCTGTGTGACTGATGCTCTTACTGGCACACCTATTTTATGGGTGAGGATAATACGATTCAGAGAAGTTAAGTGACATACCCAAGGTCACACAGCTAGAAAGTGCCCAAGCTGGTATGGACACCTAGGTCTGGCTGACTCACAAGCTGGTGTTGTTAACTAGTAGGGTAAGAGATCCTCTCATTTAAAGAGGTTACCAGGTGTGTGTGTGTGTGTGTGTGTGTGTGTGTGTGTGTGTGTGTATACACACACACACATTTGTATTGATGAAGAATGATCTGCCAATTTTCTGCAAACCCATCTAAGAACTAACTAGTGAGAAGAGTCCTGCATGCAGTTCTGTTCCACTGTTGGGCACACTGTGTCGGGACACCTGCCACATCAGGTAAGTGACTTCCCTTCTGTCAAATTCATTCTCCACATCTGTTAAACAGAGGGTTGGACCAGATACCTGAGCTCCCTTCCAGCTCTGACATTTCGTGACACTTTGGTTCATTTCTCACTTCCTGGCAGACTGGAGAAATCAGAGAACTGAATGAAGGACAAAATGCATCATGGAGAGAAATGCAAAAGTGGGGAGAATCAAATGATGCTCCCAGGAGCTTCCTGGATGGATCAATTAACCTCAAATGGCTTTGCCATGCTTAGGCAGTAACACGTTGGTTCTGTGTTCCCTTGGGAATTTATGAAGAAATAGTTTCTTTTCAGTTACCCACATTAAAAAGTACTAGCTTTCTTAGAGTGGTTATTATTTAATTTCAGACCTTGTAGTCTCAGAGTATTTCTGAAGATCAAATGAAGACTGGTAATAGGTCACTTAAGTATGGGGTGCTCATATTTTATTGCTCTGTTAGAATTACTAGAATTTGTGTTCTATTTTGCAAGAGGGCTTTGGAAGATAGTGGTTTCTAGGAAAGAAGCAATCTAAATAACAGGTTGTATGCAACCCTATCTCCCTTCAGAGTTTAAAAGCAGATAGACAATAACTAGGTCTAGTGCACTTTACCTTTTATCTGTTTTGTTGTTAAAAAAAAAAAAACCACCTTGTAGTCAAGAACACTTAAGGTTAATAATCTTTTTTTTAAAGATTTTATTTATTAGAGAGAGAGCGCAAGCAGAGGGAGCGGCAGAGGGCAGAGGGGGAAGCAGACTCCCTGCTGAGCAAGGAGCCCAGCACAGGGCTCAGTCCCAGGACTCTGGGATCATGATCTGAGCCGAAGGCAGATGCTTAACTGACTGAGCCACCCCAGGCGCCCCTAAGATTAATAATCTACAGGGTCTAGGTGATGCCGTAGTTGGAATGGTAGCTTTGATCTTAAAAATATTTTTATGCTCTTTTTGGGGAGTGTGGTGCGAGTGTGTTCCCGAACCTGGAGGCCCTTATTTGGGATGGTGTGTGTATCCGCTTGGCTCAGGCAGGGCTCTGAAAGGCTGCCCCCAGAGCCAACCCCTCCCGTCCGTACAGATGAGGAACCACCATTAGGAGGAACAAACTCGTTTACCTGGGGGCAGACAGGTGGGCTGTGATGGCGGTGGTGCGCGGTACGTGATCAGAGCTGCACATACATGAGCCTTGCTCTTCCTGGCCCCAGGTTAAAGTGCTTGGGATGCTCATCACTTGTGGGCGGTCAAGTACATTAGCCCAGCAGGGTTGCCATTCAGAAGGAGCTAACGACCCGGTGGCATTCAAAACCGATTTTACTGATTTTACCTTCTTTGTACCCAGGTCTGGGTCAGCGCGTATGGGGTATATGTTCCAGCCATAACATCCTGGCTTCTCAGAAACAGGTTTGGCAAAATGGCAGTCTTTCTGTGGG